GTTGTATGAAAGGATGAGACTAGTGGTCATCCGTCATTATATCATACGGGCCTCTGTGGTCTAAATTTTCTGCAATAAATAATTATTGACAGCATTGTCTACAAAGTTTTAATTGAATTTATATTGACATAGGCGTCAAAGTTACTAAGTGTTTAATTCAATATAAATTTCTACGATATTTGTACAACAAATAATCAGACAATGAACCATAAATGCGGGCGTAGAGTAAGCCCGCGTCAGTGGTACGTATGTATTTGAATTTAATATATTAGGCCTATTAAAACATACAACTGCAATTCAGTTCGTTGAACTAAAATTTGATTAGCTGTGGTATACAGCGAGTGACGACATTTGATTATTTACGCTCCCGCCTGACATGTAACTATTTCCCTCCCCCCCCCCATCCGTCACCTACCCTTCCTCTCCCGCGTCTCTATTGAGTGATCGAACGACAAGTAATTGGCGAGGGTACTGTAAAATAGCCTTAACATCACCCAGGGTTTCATTAGATTGTATCGTCGCGGACGCTGTGACAATTTGTCGGTCTGCTACATGCAAGGTGTGGTGTATATAAACGTTATTACAATGACGTACCACAAGGATACTTAAATAAACTATGCTACTCCGAGCCTTTCAAAACCCAAGGCTTCTAATAGGTGCGACGGAAATTGCGAGATTGCTTCGCAGTCGTACTCTCTGTATACGAGCATTCTTTATATATATATATATATATATATATACATTATCGATTTTGTGAGTCAAAAGCGCTAATATTCTAAACAATGTTCCATTGGCCGATAGGCTCATATAATTACAAACATGATTAACCAATTCTGTTGATTGGTCCTCAAGCGTTTTTCACGCTATGTGTGTGTGTGTGTGTATAGCCTTTATAAGTTTCGTAGTTTGGTTGGTATCACACTCTCCGGTTTTGTACAGAATTTAGAAAGATTGAAGATATTTTTTCCAAAACGCAGTACAATGGAAATCGTATATTTCTACTACTTAGTAACGATTATTATGGTACACGTTATTGTTACTGATGAGAGTTACTGCGAAAGTGCCGGGACGGTGTATAGTTGGAACTTAAACACGTCTGCCGAACATGTCGAAAGTAACTCCTTACCGCACGATATATCGAACACAGTTGCACGTGTCGACAATCTAGAAAAGTGCGCGTACGAATGTCATTGGTTTCCCAGCTGTCTGTCATACGTCTATAAGGAGGTGGACCGTTTGTGCTACATATTTAATATAACGTCAGCAGTGCATCCCCTCAGTTACATGCCAGGGTTCGATTACTACAAAAAGGGGTACTACTACCTTTAAAGATTCACAAATCGCCAATTTAACTCTACAAATAAAAAAAATTTAAAAAACTTCACAAGGAAAGGTACAGTACACATCTGTTGGAAATAATGGAACACATCCGAACTATTTCAGTATCAGGACTTTTCACTATTCTTTAAAAGATTCAATATCGTCTAGAATTCTACACAGAAAAACAAGGATAAACAGTAAAACCGATTTTGTTGCTGAAGTGGCTGGTTTGAACGAACATACGAGTGTAACACTGTTCCCTGATAATACATAGATTGACAAAATGAAGTCTACTGAAGCAGAAGGAATACTAAGACGTTGCTGAGCTCTGAAAGAGAAATTGGGGAAAAGGGAATTGTAATAAGTACGTGGTTATTATG